CGAGGCCCTCAAGGACAAGTCCCCCGGCCAGGCCATAGACTGGATGGCTGAAAGGGAGGTCGCTTTCAACGCCACCAAAGCCGCCCTGAGCAAAGCCGCCATGTTGGCTCACCCGTCACACAGGGCCCCCATCGTTATCACCACCGACGCGTCTGACTACGCGGTGGGCGCGGTGCATGAACAATGGGTCGACGGCGCCTGGCAACTGCTCGCCTTTTTCAGCCGCCTGTTGACTCCCAGGGAGCGCAAGTACAGCGCTTTCGACAGAGAACTCCTTGGCCTCTATTTGGCGGTTCGCCACTTCCGTTTCCTGCTGGAAGTCCGGGAGTTCGTGGATCACAAGCCACTTACCTTCTGCATGTCCAAGGTGGCCGAGCCGTGGTCCGCCCGACAGCAACGCCAGCTTTCGTACATCTCCGAGTACACCACGGACATACGACACATCGCTGGCAAGGCTAACGTGGTCGCGGACTGCCTCTCCAGAGGGGTCATCGAAAGCCTCGATTACCTCCGCATGGGCGCTGACCAGGCCTCTGACCACGGGGTCCAGACCCTCAAGGCCTCTGTCACGGGATTACGCCTGGAGGAGGTCACGGTCGGTGACTCTGGCGCGAAGCTGTGGTGTGACGTCTCCACGGCCAGCCTCGACCGCTGGTCCCTGCGGACTGGCGCCAACCCGTTTTTGTGGGCGGTTCACAATCTTTCCCACCCCGGTAGGAAGCCGTCCGTGAAGTTGTTGTTGCAGAAGTTCGTGTGGCAGGGGCTTAAGAAGGACGTGAGGTCCTGGGTCGACTCATGCGTGGCCTGTCAACGGGCCAAAGTCCACCGCCATACTAGGGCCCCTTTTGAACTTTTTGCAGTTCCTGAGAGGAGGTTTGACCATGTCAATGTCGACCTCGTAGGTCCGCTTCCCCCCTCTCACGGTTTCACCTACCTGTTTACGATGGTGGACAGGACCACCCGCTGGCCCGAGGCTGTTCCCCTCACCTCAAAGTCAGCTTCCGACGTCGCCCAAGCTTTCATCGGCACGTGGGTGGCGCGCTTCGGGACCCCGTCTGACCTCTCCTCTGACCGCGGTTCTCAGTTCACCTCGGAGCTGTGGAACGCTGTTGCTGTGGGTTTGGGGGTCAAGCTGCACCGCACCACCGCATATCACCCCCAGGCTAACGGATTGTGTGAGCTGTTTCACCGGTCCATGACAGACGGCAACTGGTTGGATAAGCTCCCGTGGGTTATGCTCGGCCTCAGGTGTGCCCCCAAAGAAGACCTGCAGTCCTCGTCGGCGGAGCTCGTCTATGGTCAGACGCTACGGGTCCCCGGGGAGTTTATTCCCACCGCCACTGTGCCCTGGTCTGCGGCAGGGCAGCGCTCCTCCCTGCTGGAGACCGCCGGGACATTCACGCCCGTCCCCACGTCGCAGCACAGCAACCCAGCTTTCCGGGTGTCCCCCGGATTACGGTCGGCGGATTTCGTTTTTATTTGCCACGACGTCCACCGCGGTCCCCTGCGGCCCCCTTACGACGGTCCGTTCAGGGTCATACGTACGGGACAACACCTGGTGGTGAACGTTGGTGGCAGGCCTGAGACTGTGTCCGTTGATCGGATTAAGTCTGCTCACGTGGACGTTTCCAGGCCGTTGGAGTTGGCTCTGCCCCCACGCCGGGGCCGCCCTCCCATGGCCCGCCCCCTGTGGGGATGCCCTCGCCCTCGTTGGCGCCCCTGCCCCTGCCCTCGCCTACTACCCCGCCCTCCTCGGCCACTGTGGTCCGTACGCGCCGGGGTCGGGTGGTACTTCCTCCCAGGCACGAGGATTTTGACTGTGTGAATTCTGAGCGGGCTTGTGTGGTGATTGACATTATTCACCCACGGATTTATGGGTTGGGGTATTGTTCCGCACGGAAATTTTAGCGAACCGGACTTCCTGTTTCCGCCGGTTTTCGCTTTCCGGGCATGAAGTTGTTTACATGTGTGTTCAGATGCTAAATACAAGTCTAGCTTGTACCTTTGATACCCCGCCTCCGACTCCCGTCTCTCCCTGAGACTGATATTGTTGGACAGAGTATTTTAAGAGGATATGGTAGACATAATATCAGCAATACTTCCAGTCAGTACTCCGGCCAGGGCCGGCCCTTGGCATAGGCAGTATAGGCGAATGCCAAGGGCGCATCAACCAATCCGGGGCGCCGAAAATTGGGGAGAAAAAAAAAGTTAGAAATAAAAAAAAAACAACACAGTTTCCCGATTTTGGATCAACAAAGTACATCTTATTATCTGACATTAACAGAACTACGCCTATATTGCGTACAGCGCCAATAAACTATGGCACACACCCCCCCAGTAAAAACCAGAGGTTTATGTGAAATTGTTATTTTTTTTAAAATAATGGTTTTAGTGTGCAATTATAGGTTTTCATTTTGTATTCGTGTTAATTTAAAATAAATCAAACTCCCAAAAAACGTACACAGCTTCTGTGTGCTTTTATTAACATTGGAATTTACTGTGTAAGCGGCCGCGGGGGGAGAGAGCTTTAGAGAGCTCTCTCCTGAAAGACTGAGCGGCTCTGATAACCTCAGCTCAGTGAGGTAAAGGCACACCTTTATATGATCATTATAGTTATTAAAAAATAAGAGGATAGATGAAAAACAGGTATAAAATACTATGTGACAGTAAAAAAAGTTGTTATTAATAAACAACAATACAATTTGAAAGAGGAGTGATTTGTAAAATATCCATAAAGAAAATCTGCTTACAGTTCCGTTTCATTTGGGTGTTGAGAGATGTATCCATAGATCTCCTAATGTAGCTCTCAAAGTGCACCAGATTGATGCTTTCAACTTCAAGATTTAAAAAAGTCTTCCCGGAGCATGCCCCCGGACCCCCCTAGAGGAGGTGAGGACCCCCCCCACTTAAATGATAAATCATGTTCAAATGGATAGGAAACTAAATACATTTGCACACATCTTGTGTCCATATCTTTCTGTTTTGGTGGTCATGCCACAACCGTGCACGTGCATGCATGCGCGAGTCATAGTGAGTCATGAACAGAGCCGTGATCAGCTGGAACTCTTTACCGGTCCACATCTTTCAGGAACATTCTCAAGTACATTTCAAAAGGTTGCTAAAAAATATTTAAGTATTACAAAGTAAATTTGAACTGTGGCTGTGGCTATGTATGCATATATTATTATATACACTTATTTGTATTTACTTTTGTTTGGCCTTAGGATGGCGATAATTGGATGACCATTTTAGTTTTCACTTCATTTCACTGTAAATTGCATGAAATTATGAGCTGTTTTGTTTTGTTTTAATGTTGTTGTATGTTTGTTTATGTATGTTTTGTGTGTGTGAGGACCCCAGGAAGAATAGCCAATGCTCATGCTAGTGCTAATGGGGATCCTAATAAAGATAAAGACAAAGGTCCCTCAAAATTGTACTTAAGTACAGTACTTGATTAAATGTCCATGTAGCTTGTTCCAGTTCCTCGCTTTCCTTGACTTCCACTGCCATGCAATTCATGTTCAAATACCCGCTGGAATTACGAAGGAAGTTTGGGGGAAACTTGGTAATGTGATTAATTTGATGTAAATGTTTTGACACGTTAAGGTTTGCAGATTATTCGCAACCATTTTTTGACAGCACAAATTTAAACCAAAATGTATCATTATGATGGATTTGATTGAAATGCTTGCATTATAAAGTGTGTGTTTATGTATTTGTCTCCAGGGTTACTATTTCGTCTCTCAGAATGGAAACCATGAGAGATTTGGATGATGAGGAGGAGGACACAACTTCAGTGTCCAGAAAACCTCCAGATTTGAGTAAAACACTTGGAGCATCTGCCACAAGGTAAGAATCTGTTTCTGCTGTGAACTGACCTGCAGAGGAGTCTGGTCTGATCTGAGTAGCAGATCACAGTTCGTGTGTGTTGGGGGAGGGGCTCTGTGAGGAAGGGGCAGATTTGTTCCGGCTGTGTATTTTCAAATTCTAGCCACTGGAGCTGGTTTCTCCAAAATTACATACGCCACCTTTAAAGTAAATGAACTTGGAACGTCTAGAACGTTTCACTCTCACAAAATAATTGTAACAACAGAAACCCTCAAACACCATTTTTAAAACATAAAGTTTAGAGTAAGAACAAAAATCTTTAAAGGGGAAAGAAAATCAAAACTGAAATCAAAAGCTGCTTTTTACAAGAACTAGTGATGTGTGTAAAACATTTGTCGTTTCCACAGACAGAGAGCAGAGTCTCCAGTCCCCAGCTGTCTGTCTCTGAAGAGTGACCGGTCTATGGCGGAAACCTATCTACTTCAGTAATGAACCTGGACCCTCAGACACAGAGTAAGAGTCTGTTTCTGCTGTGAACTGACCTGACAAACATATATATATATCTATATATATATATAGATACATACTGTATATATATATATATGCCATCTGATCACTTTAAACTCTTCTTTAATAATTACATGAGTGCAGTAGCCCACAGTATAGAAACTCAGTAGAGCTCAGTATAGAAACACAGACATACTTGAATCAGATAAGGAAAATATCGGCACCTAGAGCTCTACAGTACTTCATATTGAATTGAAGTTATACATTTATGTGTATCAACTATTGATTGTTAGTTTGACTATTAATGGAGCAGCCACAACGTTAGCTGAGTCTAACTCCACTCAATCTAATCTCCATTCAGGAACTAGCATTTTTAAAGTGATTTGCTTTCCATGTTGTGGACAGACCTGACAAAGTGTTCACTGCTTTTACAAATTGGAATCAGTATGTAGTTATTATTAAACAAGTTTAATTTAGCCGTAGTAAAACTTGTGAGGTACAGTGAACATGCTGTAGGCGATGATGTTACAGACAGAAGGGCGTTTGGTTTCATAATTATATGAATAACTAAATATCTACCACTTGGGAACAGTTACCAGGATGAAATATCATCTACAGATAAAGAACTTTAACAAACAAATCAAACAAGAATTTGTCATCTTTGGGTTGTTCCATTGGTGAAAATCAGTCCCCGTAATGTGCTATAAAGGATGTGTTGATCTCCTCAGAGGGAAGAGGAAGAGTGGTGTTCCTGTGGAGGAGCAGCTGTCCAGCTGTGCTCTGTGTCAGGACGTCCTGAAGGATCCAGTCTCTACCAGCTGTGGACACTGGTTCTGCAGACAGTGCATCACCTCATACTGGGAGCAGCGCCCTCCATCAGGAGACCCCTCCTGTCCCCAGTGTGGAAAGAGATCCAGAACCAGAGCTGGACTGCAGACAGCCAGTCAGACCAGAACAGTAAAAAGTAAGTCTGAACATCTGTCCAGGGTTTCCCACAGATAGACTTTACTTGGGCTGCCCGCCCAGGTATATTACTACCTTCTAGGGATGCCAGCGATTATTCGATTATTCGAATATTCGTTACAGTCTCCATAATCGAAAATTATTTTTAAAATTCGATTTTATTTATATATTTTTTTATTATTATTTATGTTTTTTTTTATGTACAACACAACAGGATTCTTCCTGCTGTGTTGTACATAATATAAGTTCATTTAAAACATTTTTTTAATCTCACGTTTCCTTCTCTCTCCGCAGAACGTGGTCTGCAGGAGGTTCTAGATGAACATAGGCTCAGTCTGAGGAGGAGATGTGAACGTGTGACTGAAGGAACTGATCAAAGTGAAACCCTCCTCAACAGGATCTTCACTGAGCTCTACATCACACAAGGCCTGAGTGAAGAGGTTAATACCCAACATGAGGTGAGGCAGCTGGAGACAGCTTCCAAGAAGAAGCCCCTCCATGACACTCCAATCAAGTTCCAGGACATCTTTTAAAGCCTTACCTGACCAACAGACTCTCATCAGAGCGGTCCTGACCAACGGAGTCGCTGGAGTTGGAAAAACCGTCTCAGTGCAGAAGTTCACTCTGGACTGGGCCGAGGGTTTGGGGAACCAAGATGTCAGTCTGGTGATCCCGCTCTCCTTCAGGGAGCTGAACCTGATCAAAGGTGAGCAGTACAGTCTTCTCAGGCTGCTCCATGTTTTCCATCCAACCTTACAGAAGGTCACAGCAGAGCAGCTGGCTGGCTGTAAAGTGCTGCTCATCTTTGACGGCCTGGATGAAAGCAGACTTTCTCTGGACTTCAGAAACAATGAGGTTGTGTCTGATGTCTCACAGCAGTCCTCAGTCAACGTGCTGCTGACAAACCTCATCAGGGGGAAGCTGCTTCCCTCGGCTCTCGTCTGGATAACTTCCAGACCTGCAGCGGCCAATCAGATCCCTCCTGAGTGTGTGGACAGGGTAACAGAAGTACGAGGCTTCACTGACGCCCAGAAGGAGGAGTACTTCAGGAGGAGATCGAGTGATGAAGACCTGTCCAGCAGAATCATCTCTCAAATCAAGAGCTCCAGGAGCCTCCACATCATGTGTATGATCCCAGTCTTCTGCTGGATCACTGCTGCAGTTCTGGACCACATGTTGACTACAGACCAGAGAGGAGAGCTGCCCCAGACCCTCACTGACATGTACTCACACTTCCTGCTGGTCCAGACCAAGAGGAAGAAGCAGAAGTATGAAGAGGGACATGAGACGAGTCCACAGCAGCTGACGGAGGCTGACAGGGAGCTTCTTCTGAAGCTGGGGAGGCTGGCGTATGAACATCTGGAGAAAGGAGACATCATGTTCTACCAAGAAGACCTGCAGCGCTGTGGTCTTGGTGTCACCGAGGCCTTGGTGCACTCAGGAGTTTGTACAGAGATCTTCAAAAGAGAGAGTGTGATCTTCCAGAAAACAGTCTACTGCTTTGTTCATCTGAGCATTCAGGAGTTTCTGGCTGCAGTCTACTTGTTGCACTGTTACACCAGCAGAGACACAGAGGTGCTGAAGGACTTCCTGCAGGGAGACTGGGACGATGACAATGATAGCAGGGATCAGGATTACCCATCCCTGGATGTCTTCCTAAAGAGAGCCATGGAGAAATCCCTCAGAAGTAGAAATGGCCACCTGGACCTGTTTGTCCGCTCCCTCCACGGCCTCTCTCTGGAGTCCAACCAGAGTCTGTTAGGAGGCCTGCTGGGTCGCACAGACAACAGACCAGAAACCATCCAGAGAGCCATCAGCAACCTGAAGAAGATGAGAAGTGATGAAGACTCTGATGAAAGGAGCCTCAACATCCTCCACTGTCTGACAGAGATGAAGGACCACTCAGTACATCAGGAGATCACAGAGTTCCTGAAGTCAGAGAACAAATCAGAGAAGAGACTCTCTGTGAAACGCTGCCCTGCTCCGGCCTACAGGCTGGAGATGTCAGAGGAGGTTCTGGATGAGTTGGACCTGGAGAAGTCCAAAACATCAGAGGAGGGACGACGGAGACTGACTCCAGCTGTGAGGAACTGCAGGAAGGCTGTGTGAGTCCAGATGTGATTAACTTTAGAGATTAGTGCAGATAAGGATTTTAGTTTTTAAAATAAACACTATACAACTTTTTGCTGTTTCACATACTGTGAGAGCAAAATTGAATTAATACAATTATTCTAATACTTTAAAAATGGTACAGTTTTTTCTTCTCTTCATTTTCATTGTCAAAATAATATGAAGGATGTTTTATCACAGCAACATGTGATAGAACATACAGAATAACTTTACATGTCATTGAATGCAGTAAAGTTATTATGAAAGGATTGCAGTTTCTTTATCGTTAAATTAGACACAGAGCAATATCTGATTTATGTTGACTCTGGTCTTCTCTAGTCTAGAAGGTAGCTAGCAAAGAGGTGACAGACATGGGATCAGATCACACTCTACCACATATGAAATAGACAGACATCCAGTGGTAATCAGATCATGATATTCAAAATGTTTTTCCTCAAATGCATGAAGTAAATATGTTGTTTCCCCTTTTTCTATATAAACTAATTCTGTAATATGTGTTCTAACAGAATTCCTGACAGTGGATTCTTAGACTGGGAAGTCGTGGCCTCAGCTCTGAAGTCTGACCCCTCCAATCTGAGAGAGCTGGAGCTGGGAGTAGACCTGCAGGATTCAGAGGTGGAGCAGCTGAGTTCTGGACTAAAGAGTCCAAACTGTAGACTGAAGACTCTGAGGTCAGATCACTGGCTGTAGTTCATGTGGTTTTCTACTGTATTTATAATTGATATATTTATAATTCCATCATTTGCCTGAGTACAAAGATATTTTAATAAGTTCACATTTCTTTCTAAATTGCTGAATATTTGACAAGAATAACAGAAAGCAGAGAAAGTAGATGTGTGAGGGGACAGTGTGTGAGACAGACTCACACTGTGCTCCAAGAGTCAGTGGAGATGCTGTCAGGACTGATGAGCTGTGAGGGAGATGGAGGAGGTTCTTCTGATGCATTACCAACGCATTTATAGTTACCTACTATTACATTTCTAAAAGTATCTACGTCATTTTTGACCTCGGCCTCTGAACCCTCTCCAGGTCTGAAAAGATGATGAGACTTTGAACTATCTCAAGCAGGACCATTGTTCTCTGAACTTACATGATGTGTTCTTTATTCAGACTCTGGTGCTGCTTCTTTGTAAACTCTGTGATCTTGAGTTGAAATGTTGTGGAGATGTAGCACTCACAACAGGAAAGAATGAAACGGAGAGGAATCAATGAAACACAAACACAGAAATAGTGGAGATGACTCATTATTATTTCGTTGCGCTCCACCAAACAACAATGGGGAAACATGAGCTGCTCTCAGCACTCAAACAGCAATGCTCCCACGAGTACCAGACACACAGGGCAGATATAGGTTTCTAAAGGACACACAGACATGTTCCTAAACATGTTTAACGCACACACATTGTCAGGTCTCCTAAACTTGGACATGTTCCAGATGTGGAAAGGTCATCATCTCATGACTTCTTTAGGAGTCTTGCAGGATATGAATGATCCAATTAACAAACTGTATACGTCTGCACATGAACGCACATATATTTCTTACATTAACTAACACTTAACTGTATTATATCTAAATGTAGCCTCTTTGCATTTCCTCTGAGCTTGGCGTCAGCTCACTTAACGTAATAATTAGCAAAGAGACGATTCTCTGGAAACTCTAACTTAATAACAAACCTAGTTACTATGACTAGGTCCAAGACTGATGTAACAGAATCAGTTTCTGTGGGTTTGATTAGTCTGGCTGCACATCACGAGTTAGTGGAGAAGGAGCAGAGTTTATGATGTGAAGTCTCCACTTTTTATTGAAGGTGAAGAACGTTGTCTTTCATATTAATGAGAGCTCTTTTCACTTTTTGGATCTTACTGTTTTTAACCTGTGGGGAGTGTCCACTTTATAAACGTCTACATTCTCTACTTCTCCAGCTATAATCAGATTATTAAACCTTTCATTATTTCAATCAGGAACATTGTTTTCTAAACTTACATCATGTGTTCTTTATTCAGACTGAGGAGCTGCAGTTTGTCAGAGATCAGCTGTTCTGCTCTGATCTCAGCTCTGAAGTCCAACATCCATCTGAGAGAGCTGGACCTGAGTAGCAACGCTCTGCAGGATTCAGGAGAGCTGCTGAGAGATCTTCTGGAGAGTCCAGACTGCAGACTGGAGACTCTCAGGTCAGTTCTCCATCTCTAACTTCTGTGCTGAGATGAATATGTGAGAGTTGTGTTGACTCTGAGCTGCAGACATCAGGCTGATATGATCCTGATCCTCACTGAGCATCTCAATGCTAAAGTCTACTTTCTTCTTCTGTGGTTTAGCTCATTGACTGTAGCAGCCCAGCTAGAAATGTTTGGTTCTAAAAACATTCTGAGAATGTTACATTCATTGTTCTAGGAATGTTTTCAATGAGAAGTTTTCTTTTGGTTCCAGAACGTTCTTCTGAAAGGTAGGATAACGGTCTCTAAAACATTCGTAAAAGGTTTTTGATAACATTGAACATTATGCCCTACTGTTCTTAAAATGTTTTCAGCTGCAAGTTAGATTTGTTTATGTTGCCAGAATGTTATTATTTGAGAGAAGGATAACATGCTTTATATTTAAAACATTATGCAAATGTTCTGTGGTAACAATTTACTCAAATATGTTTACATTATTAGAACATAAAGACATAATATTCCTGTAATTGTTCAACTCAAAATGCCTGGGCAAGTGGACTGACCACTGTGGCCATTAGGATGATTTTGATAGTTTACTTAACTATTGGAATTTGACTCTTAACACATGTGAAAGGATGACTCGGAATCAGCTGTGAAAGTAACATTTGTTTATTATAAAAGGGGAGCTGGGAGTGGAGGTTGGTGATGGCGGCAGTGGGAAACAGTTGTTCCAGCGTGGAGGGGGGCCTGGCTGGTCTTGGGAGTGTGGAGGCCTTGGATTCCTCCTGGGAGACACACACAAATGAGTGTGAGGCAAAAGCAGGCAAAGCTGTCAAAGAATATGCTGGCAAAAAGTTAGAGCGGCCGCAACAAACCGCTCATGGCAACAAACCGCTCACGGCAACAAACCGCTCACGGCAACAATCCGGCAGGGAATGAGTGCAGGCTGCAGGCTTTCATAGTGTGGCTGATGATCAGGCTGCAGGTGGGGTTGATTGGAGATTGCTCCCAGCCGTGTGGAGCAGACCAGCAGGTAGAGAGAGAGACACAGTAGAAACAAACACATACAAACACTAACAGGGGTTTCAGTAGTGATGGCGAGATGAAGCTTTGAAGCTTTCCAGCCAATTGGTTCGCAAAAGGGTTCATCTCATGAGGCTTCATCTCATGAGGCTTCATCATGGGCTTCATCTCATGAGGCTTCATCATGGGCTTCATCTCATGAGGCTTCATCATGGGCTTCATCTCATGAGGCTTCATCATGGGCTTCATTTGAACACAAACCCCCTGTTGGTCAAAGTGTGTAAAACAGGCAGATTGGACATCTCAACAGTGTGCTCCATCTCATACCGAGTTCCCAATGAGTAAAGCCTTAGAATAACTCTAAACAACCAACATTACATATTTTCATGTTAACAATATTGTTTTTATTCCAGTTGAATGATTGTGATTGAAAAGCCTAAGGAGGCTGGTACACATTGCAAAGAGGGATTTGTATTCCTTAATAATATTCTTAAACTTAACCATGTTGTAGCCGGAGAAAGGCTAAACCATATCAAAGACTATTTATTAACTACATTATCTCATTTAGCTGTAGCTTTTATAAACAACAAAAAAGACGTATTGTTCAGTCGTTGAACCAGGGACCCTGCGGTCGTGAGTCAACTGCTTTCCAGCTGAGCCACAGCACACAAGCTGAATCTCACCGAAAACACTGCACTATATTTATTCATGTTTTTATTCCTACATTTATTTATGCTTGTATCCATTTATACTTATGACATGTTCCGACCTCTATATGAGTGAGGGTCTGAGCTCTTTTAATTCCATCGTGTCACCAGGCCCGGGTACAGGAAGGGTAATATGGTTCTTATTATACATCCATGGGTATTATGAGCGTTGTGGTTCAACCGATCTGAATCGCTTCCTGAAGCAGTCACGTGGTATCGACAGGCAGCGAGGCTTCGTTTGTCATCGGTGACGTCACTGGCCCAACACGATACAAGCCTCGATACAAGCTTCACAAAAAGCTTCGGGGATTACTCGACACACGCTCCGAAGCCTCGGCGCAATACGTAACATCACTAGGTTTCAGGGACGGGCAGTGACAGTCGGTCCGTTCCTCTATATGTCTGTCTTTGGTTTTCTAAGTGTTATTCGATCCATATGAATAGAGATATGTGCATAAACAACAAAAACACTTATGGTATAATGTTCGAGCAATGTTATCACCAAACATTTGAAGAATGTTTTAAGAGAACGTTCTCCTACCTTTCTACATTCTAGGAACCAAAATAAAACTTCTCGATGAAACCATTCCTAGAACAATGAATGGTATTATTCTCAGAATGTTTTTAGAACCAACAATGTCTAGCTGGGAACTCAGACATGCCTACGCAAACGTGCAATACCATGAATTACGTGCTTTATTTTTTTTAAAAGGAAAATGTGGAGACATCAGTTTGTTTTTTAAAGCGCACTACAAATAACTCTGACGTTGACCATGACCGTGTTAATATTTCGCATCACAGGAATGTTTTATAAAAAAAGAATAACCTCCTGAAAACATTATCCAAATGTTGCTTTCAAAATGTTCTTCTTTGGTTATCAGGTAACATTGAGGGAATGCTTTATAAAGAACATCTTTAATGTGTTACCCAACAACGTCCAAAACACATCCTTAGAGTGTTGCAGGCGAAACGTTCCACCTTCGTTAACATATCACATTCAAGGAACGTTTTATAAAAACACTTTCTGTCATCTCAGGCCTCAATAACATCCTCAAAACATCCTCTGAATGTTGCAGTTAAAACGTTACGTCTTAGTTAACCTTAAACCTTATAGGAACATTATTTGAAAAAATAAACATCTTAAAAAGGTTCTTTGAACATCAGATTAAAACGTTTCTTTAAAACCTTATTAGAACCTGTAGGTCAGGCATCCTCAAAGTCCGGACTCCGGTAAGATTTGTATTTGAGTGCCCCTGCTGTAGGTAACGTTAGCCAACGTTGTGAGAACGTTCCCCGCTAGCTGGGAGAGCTTTGTTAAAGAAAAATCATACTCTGCATAATTCACTCTGAACCTTTAAACACCTGAAATTCATCTTTTATTCTCCATCATGCTTTTTAAATAAATGACATTATAAACACATGAATACAATAATTAAATATTTCTATTAAAACTATCAAACACTAACAAATATGTTCAGTTGTTGCTGTTTCTAACATGTTTCTGAAGCTGCATGATGCTCAGACTGACTGAATAGTTTACACTGAAGATGCTGTGATCTATGTCTCCACTGTTCCTGAGATCAATATTCTCTATTTATTGTGATCACATTTCTTCTAAATTCATCCTGACTTCTTTGTAAACTCTGTGATCTTGAGTTGAAATGTTGTGGAGATGTAGCACTCACAACAGGAAAGAATGAAACAGAGAGGAACCAATGAAACACAAACACAGAAATAGTTGAGATGACTCATTATTATTTCGTTGCGCTCCACCAAACAACAATGGGGAAACATGAGCTGGGGCCTGTTCTACGAAGCCGGTTCAACCTAACCTGGATATGTTTGAGTTAGCCGGTTGGCCTAATCCAAAACATACGCGCTCTCGCTAAACTGTACTACGACGCTGGTTATCAAGTGGATCGCTCAAGCCAGCCGTGTCCTATCTAGTTAGGTGTTCACATGAGAGGGGTGGTATCTGGAGCATTCGACCAATCACAGACATGGAGAAGCGTACTGACAGCGCAGCGTCATACTTCCTGAATGAAAAGTGAACTTTAATACTAGTCAAAAATGAAGAAGTTAAACTTTAAACATCCATGACTTAAACACTTGATCCAGGATCAAAGCCACAGAGCTGCACCTGCAAGGTGAATACAGCTGGTAACAGAACAAGTGTTTGAATGCGTACATTAACAGGTTTATGATATCACTGCCCGTCTAAGACACCATCTGACTTTCATTACATTTGTCTCGAGTGTTTCGTCAACTTAATGTGTTGCTTAAAATAATACTTCTGCATCCAGTAGTAACAGTAGGCCTATGTGACGCTGTGAGTGTTGCACGGCCAGATACGGCTCAGCTGACTCAGATCAGGAGATATATGATACATTATGAAGTGATATGGACTGTACTTAATGTGACTCTGATCCGGTTACTTATGTTGTGGCAGATATGTGGTAAGTGTTCTTAACGCTAATGTTATTATAGTCAGATTGCTCTGAAGATGGAGCTGATATTCTATTCATGTTCACGTTCACACAGTCGGTGATTTTTGCCGGCCGTCTTTCCTGCAACGGCAGCTTTTCTGTATTTCCTTTCTCCTGTAATTTGACTTGATCGCTTTAAACTCCACACTGAGCTCTGATTGGTCAGCAGGCAGTGCTTTCACTGAGTTGAGCTCTTAGCCTGCAACCTAACCTGGTCCCGACCAGGTTAGCCGCTAAGCATAAGTTACCATGGAGATCTAGCCCGCTAAAAAGAGAACCAGCTTCGTAGGACCGAAAAGCCGGAGTTTTCCCTAAATGTAGCCGGCTAAGCGAAAATCCTGCTTCGTAGTATACCCCCCTGCTCTCAGCACTCAAACAGCAATGCTCCCACGAGTACCAGACACACAGGGCAGATATAGGTTTCTAAAGGACACACGGACATGTTCCTAAACATGTTTAACGCACACACATTGTCAGGTCTCCTAAACTTGGACATGTTCCAGATGTGGAAAGGTCATCATCTCATGACTTCTTTAGGAGTCTTGCAGGATATGAATGATCCAATTAACAAACTGTATACGTCTGCACATGAACGCACATATATTTCTTACATTAACTAACACTTAACTGTATTATATCTAAATGTAGCCTCTTTGCATTTCCTCTGAGCTTGGCGTCAGCTCACTTAACGTAATAATTAGCAAAGAGACGATTCTCTGGAAACTCTAACTTAATAACAAACCTAGTTACTATGACTAGGTCCAAGACTGATGTAACAGAATCAGTTTCTCTGGGTTTGATTAGTCTGGCTGCACATCACGAGTTAGTGGAGAAGGAGCAGAGTTTATGATGTGAAGTCTCCACTTTTTATTGAAGGTGAAGAACGTTGTCTTTCATATTAATGAGAGCTCTTTTCACTTTTTGGATCTTACTGTTTTTAACCTGTGGGGAGTGTCCACTTTCTAAACGTCTACATTCTCTACTTCTCCAGCTATAATCAGATTATTAAACCTTTCATTATTTCAATCAGGAACATTGTTTTCTAAACTTACCTCATGTGTTCTTTATTCAGTCTGAGGTGGTGCAGTTTGTCAGAGATCAGCTGTTCTGCTCTGGCCTCAGCTCTGAAGTCCAACATCCATCTGAGAGAGCTGGACCTGAGTGAGAACGCTCTGCAGGATTCAGGAGAGCTGCTGAGAGATCTTCTGGAGAGTCCAGACTGCAGACTGGAGACTCTCAGGTCAGTTCTCCATCTCTAACTTCTGTGCTGAGATGAATGTGTGAGAGTTGTGTTGACTCTGAGCTGCAGACATCAGGCTGATATGATCCTGATCCTCACTGAGCATCTCAATGCTAAAGTCTACTTTCTTCTTCTGTGGTTTAGCTCATTGACTGTAGCAGAGCTTTGTTAAAGAAAAATCATACTCTGCATAATTCACTCTGAACCTTTAAACTCCTGAAATTCATCTTTTATTCTCCATCATGTTTTAAAATAAATGACATTATAAACACATGAATACAATAATTAAATATTTCTATTAAAACTATCAAACACTAACAAATATGTTCAGTTGTTGCTGTTTCTAACATGTTTCTGAAGCTGCATGATGCTCAGACTGACTGAATAGTTTACACTGAAGATGCTGTGATCTATGTCTCCACTGTTCCTGAGATCAATATTCTCTATTTATTGTGATCACATTTCTTCTAAATTCATCCTGACTTCTTTGTAGACTCTGTGATCTTGAGTTGAATCAGTTTCTGTGGGTTTGATTAGTCTGGCTGCACATCACGAGTTAGTGGAGAAGGAGCAGAGTTTATGATGTGAAGTCTCCACTTTTTATTGAAGGTGAAGAACGTTGTCTTTCATATTAATGAGAGCTCTTTTCACTTTCTGGATCTTACTGTTTTTAACCTGTGGGGAGTGTCCACTTTCTAAACGTCTACATTCTCTACTTCTCCAGCTATAATCAGATTATTAAACCTTTCATTATTTCAATCAGGAACATTGTTTTCTAAACTTACATCATGTGTTCTTTATTCAGACTGAGGAGTACTGCAGTTTGTCAGAGATCAACTGTTCTGCTCTGGCCTCAGCTCTGAAGTCCAACATCCATCTGAGAGATCTGGACCTGAGTGGCAACGCTCTGCAGGATTCAGGAGAGCTGCTGAGAGATCTTCTGGAGAGTCCAGACTGCAGACTGGAGACTCTCAGGTCAGTGAGGGGTCGACTCAGTCTCTGCTGGTTCAGCAGGATTGTATTGAACACAGGGAGGTGGATGTGTTCCTCTCACTGGGGAATCTCTCCAGTTCCACCTTCCAGGCGTAGCCTAGCTTAGCACAACACATCAGTGATGTTACCATTTACCTGCAGTTTCTCCTTTTGTTCATCTCATGGTCCTTTTCTTGCGTTCTCCCAAGAACAATAGAATGCAAGCTGACAATGCAAAGCCACATTTCAGTCAGGCGCAACTTGTTAACAGACACATTTTACAGTTAAAAAGTTAGTCTGTTAGTTTTTCCTATGAAGTTGATTTGTTCCTGGACTTACGCCTAGTTAACTCTGTGATGCAGCTGAGAGCTGTGGCAGGCAGTCGTAGTGTTTGCAGACAGGATATGATGGGATGGAAAGCATGAGATCAGGACTCTGAAGCTGACTCAAAGAACAAACACTTATTCGAACTGGATCTAAAACTGTTGGATTGTGTTCATCCCTACAGGATCAGAGGAGGAGAGACGATCACAGCCAAGATCCAGAAGAAATGTGAGTATTGTTGGAGTAGATATCTCTTCTCCGCGCCGATCCTATATGAGTCTGCTTTAAAAGAAGGAAAACTCAAAACAACCGGGATACGGGTTAAACCAGGGGTGCCCAACCTTTTTTGAACCGAGAGCTACTTTTAAAGTTGCCAGTCTACCGAGATCTACCAGTCCAAATAGAGAGGCGTAGCCATTACTGACAGCCTACTACCAGGTAAATACACACTTCTACTTGTATAAAACTGACCTTTGTACGATTAATACTTCATAAAATACTCAGATCCTTTATCTTACCGCTTTCTAATCTACACAAGTATTTAACTGAAGTTACACAACAGTGTTGTTGATACAGAGTTGGCGTTTATTCACACGTCACTACAGTGGGTAATGTTTTCAAGAAACATTGAACAGTGCTGCCACATATGAAACAGGGAAAAAGAAAAGACTCTGAACCCTTTCTTTGCCATTATATAAAAATAGTGTTGCTACCAAAGTATAAATGAGGCTTACTAATAAGACGACTCAGATCTGAAGCTACACAGGAATCTGCTGCCAAAGTGCAATAAAAAAGACGACATTAATAGAATCAAACCCTTTTTTTGTTGCATTTTAGTAGATTATAAAAATAAATGCCTTTTTAAAATAGGAAGCCAGCAACACTAGTTTCTTAACCTGAATTGATAATAGACTATAATCAATTTAAGTTTACATTCTTATACCATTTTGTACAATAATTATAAGGGTGTCATTACTGAGAAATGTCAAACAAATTAAAAACCTTACATTTGAAAACAGGTTTGCATTCCTCCACTTAAGGTGACGTTATCATTGGAAACAATAAAAGCTAATTGTTTTGACGTAGAATCTATAAATTGAATCGTTAGAGCAGAACAGAATGGTCGTATTGTAGCCTGAGTTCCGTGCAGCCTCCAGCTTTACCAGGTGGAAACATCGTCTATATAATGTGAATACATGCAGAATTAGACAGTAAGAGGCCCCTGACATTAGGCCTATACTAAAAATTGTAGGGGCTTTTAAGAGCTTGCAAACCTACAGGCATCCTCTGCATAGCAGTATGAATAGCCTTAAAAAACAACCCACTCTGTGATAACGAGAGTCATGTATCTGACCCAAATGCCCTAAGTCAGGGGTCTGCAACCTTTTTGACCAAAAGAGCCATTTTGCTCCTTTTTCCAAAACATTTTTTTGTCTGGAGCCGCAAAACATATTTCATAGTTTTTTATTGTTACATCAGACAAAAACTAGTTTTTTTGCATTCATTAGGTTATTTATTACATGATATAAAACTGTTAACCTCTAATAAGAAACAAAGAACTCTTATAAGGAGAATTAAAAATAATACACAGGCCTACTTTAAAATAAATTAAACACAGCACTTGGGGAGTCCTCTGCACATTTGAAGGGAAAAAAATATTATTAAAATGGGCCCACTTTGAAATAAATAAAACATATAGCTGCACCCTAAAAAGAGTTAAAGGTAGGGTAGGTAAGAATGGAGAAACCAGCTCGAGTGCGCTAGAATTTGAAAGTACACAACCGGAAAAGATCTGCCTCTTCCTTCAGACTTCCTCACAGAGCCCCTCCTCCAACACACACGAACGCGCACATGACCAATGAGGGCACGAGATAAGTTTGTGCCCAGATGGAAGGCTGACAGGCAGGTAGGCCATCCAGTTACTTTAGCCGGGCCGGCTCAGAGGATTGGTCGTGCTTTTTACAGCGCTACGGCTTCCAGAGATTAATTTTTGTATGTATTTATTGTCAAAGCATTTAATATATTCATTGCTATCGGGACGTTAAGAGCATTCCATGGAATATAACAAAGTGTTTTCTGAAATAAATTACATACCCCATTGAATTATGACTGAAGATCGTCAGCTGTCTTCCTCTCCCGTGTTGTTCCTCGATACGTAAAGGCTGCAGCACCGTTGACAACTTCTCTCTACATATCAAACATACCGGTAAACCAGCATCGCTTGCTGTGAAAGCATATAACTCTGTCCACACAGAATTAAATCCTGTGTTCCTCCAGTTCTTGTATTTGATGTATCCATAGTTCGCTCATCGAGCCGGGGGTCAGGTTATTCGCCTCCAAGAAAAGGCGCTCGCGCGGGACCATAGCAGGATGTGACGCTATTTTAGTTGACCTAATTAAAACCGTTTTGTTTTTTATTTATGTGTCACAGTATCACCTCAAAATACAAGATACGAAACATTTTCAACCATGCAACAAAACATAAATAGTCCTACAAATATTTTAATTTTATTTCCTTCTTATTTTTGTCTAAGCTCAAGGGAGCCAGAGCAGAGGGCTTAAAGGGCCGCATGCGGCCCGTGGGCCGCGGGTTGCCGACCCCTGCCCTAAGTGAAGCCGTTAGTCTCATCTGACTGACCCAAGGGTTGGTGCTGGTGTGACAGGGAGGCTTCCTGGTGTTCAAAGCAGAGGTCAAGTTTTCAGTTCATGGCTCAGTGGGGGGGAGCAGACCCACGTGAGACAGTATCAACGGCTGTAATGTTCAGTTTGAGGAGTGTCATTCTCTCTGGGAGCAGGAAATGGTGTCCATTCTCGGACCAGACCATTAATGTCATGTAGAGCAGCCATAGCATCTCCGCGACTGCACTCAGCCGGACTGTAGCAGGGCAGAACTGGGTGACTTTTAGTGAAGCTGTCCAAGGCCATGGACAAAATGGAATCACGTACTAACAAAAAGGACACAAGGTCATCAATGTCTCGCTTTTCCATTGGCCTAATCATAACAAATTAGTGGGAAAAATGTGGAACACTAATCCATCATCATGTGAAATTTTGAGTTAATTTAAATAATTACTTATGGGTTGAAATCAAATTAATATTTGTAATATATTAATATTAAGATTTGTCGGTATCCTGCCGACAACGCCAATTTGTCAGGGAAACTTCTGCAGCAATGGAGAGTCAGGACTCAAACAGACATGAGGAGAGTTGGAGCTTTGATGTCAAACAATGATGTTTATTACAAGTCAACGGCCGGAGAATTCATATCACAAGTCACAGCAGCAAAAGGTTCTGACTGCACGGGTGGGTTGCCATGTCAATTCTGACCAGCCTATCTCTCGATAGACCTTTTAACTAGTTTACAGAGAGTTAATGAGCATATTGGGGGAGGGTGCGTAAACACTGGGAACACTGCAGATATCCCCGATATCTGGAAATACTCAATCACCTGTCTGTGGAGCTTTAGAAAGCCAGCGTTCTCACAGTCGTAAACCATTTCGTGACCGAGAGTTGAACTGGTTTATCAAGATAGCTGGAGCCTCCCATTCCTTAAGAGAGATAACAGAGCCAGGGTTTGGTCGTAAACGTCAACACACAGAAAAGGTTAAATATCTAGGAGTAAGGAAGAATTATTCCCTAACACTCTCCTGTTTCCTTCTCTCTCAGCAGATAGTGGTCTGCAGAAGGTTTTAGATGAACATAGGCTCAGTCTGAGGAGGAGATGTGAACGTGTGACTGAAGGAACTGATAAAAGTGAAACCCTCCTCAACAGCATCTTCACTGAGCTCTACATCACACAAGGCCAGAGTGAAGAGGTTAATACCCAACATGAGGTGAGGCAGCTGGAGACAGCTTCCAAGAAGAAGCCCCTCCATGACACTCCAATCAAGTGCCAGGACATCTTTAAAGCCTCACCTGACCAACAGACTCCCATCAGAGCGGTCCTGACCAATGGAGTCGCTGGAGTTGGAAAAACCTTCTCAGTGCAGAAGTTCACTCTGGACTGGGCCGAGGGTTTGGGGAACCAAGATGTCAGTCTGGTGATCCCGCTCTCCTTCAGGGAGCTGAACCTGATCAAAGGAGAGCAGTACAGTCTTCTCAGGCTGCTCCATGTTTTCCATCCAACCTTACAGAAGGTCACAGCAGAGCAGCTGGCTGTCTGCAAAGTGCTGCTCATCTTTGACGGCCTGGATGAAAGCAGACTTTCTCTGGACTTCAGAAACAATGAGGTTGTGTCTGATGTCTCACAGCAGTCCTCAGTCAACGTGCTGCTGACAAACCTCATCAGGGGGAAGCTGCTTCCCTCGGCTCTCGTCTGGATAACTTCCAGACCTGCAGCGGCCAATCAGATCCCTCCTGAGTGTGTGGACAGGGTAACAGAAGTACGAGGCTTCACTGACGCCCAGAAGGAGGAGTACTTCAGGAGGAGATCGAGTGATGAAGACCTGTCCAGCAGAATCATCTCTCACATCAAGAGCTCCAGGAGCCTCCACATCATGTGTATGATCCCAGTCTTCTGCTGGATCACTGCTGCAGTTCTGGACCACATGTTGACTACAGACCAGAGAGGAGAGCTGCCCCAGACCCTCACTGACGTGTACTCACACTTCCTGCTGGTCCAGACACAGAGGAAGAAGCAGAAGTATGAAGAGGGACATGAGACGAGTCCCCAGCAGCTGACGGAGGCTGACAGGGAGCTTCTTCTGAAGCTGGGGAGGCTGGCGTTTGAACATCTGGAGAAAGGAAACATCATGTTCTACCAAGAAGACCTGCAGCGCTGTGGTCTTGATGTCACCGAGGCCTTGGTGCACTCAGGAGTTTGTACAGAGATCTTCAAAAGAGAGAGTGTGATCTTCCAGAAAACAGTCTACTGCTTTGTTCATCTGAGCGTTCAGGAGTTTCTGGCTGCAGTCTACTTGTTGCACTGTTACACCAACAGAGACACAGCGGTACTGAAGGACTTCCTGAAGAGAGACTGGCCCTATGAGAACAGTAAAAACCGTGATCAGGATTACCCATCCCTGGATGTCTTTCTAAAAGGAGCCATGAAGAAATCCCTCCAAAGCAGAAATGGCCACCTGGACCTGTTTGTCCGCTTTCTCCACGGCCTCTCTCTGGAGTCCAACCAGAGACTGTTAGGAGGCCTGCTGGGTCGCACAGACAACAGACCAGAAACCATCCAGAGAGCTATCAACAACCTGAAGAAGATGAGAAGTGATGAAGTCTCTCCTGGCAGGAGCATCAACATCCTCTACTGTCTGACAGATATGAAGGACCTCTCAGTAAATCAGGAGATCACAGAGTTCCTGAAGTCAGGGAACAGATCAAAGGAACTCTCTATGATCCACTGCTCTGCTCTGGCAGACATGCTGCAGATGTCAGAGGAGGTTCTGGATGAGTTTGACCTGAAGAAGTACAAAACATCAGCGGAGGGGAAACTAAGACTGATTCCAGCTGTGAGGAACTGCAGGAAGGCCAAGTGAGTCCAGATGTGATTAACTTTATAAACTGATGTGGATCAGAAGCTTAATTATTCAATTAAACACTATAACATTTCTGCTGTTTAAAAACTGAGAGCAAATTAAAACCAACGCTGTTCTTCTATTTATTTATAATAATAGTTCAATTGAACAGTTTTTCTCTCTTCATACTCCTTTGAGTGATGGAGGCGACATGTCAAACACATGAAGGACTCTAGAGGTTTCTCAGCATGTGATCTCACCACACTGCAGGACTTACAGTTATCAGTTATTACTTTCTAGTAGTTTCTTTATCATTAAAACACACACACGTTTTTATTACAATGTATTAGAGTTTAAAATAAGATCTAGATAATTTCCCACTAATACCAGAGTTATGTCTTAATGCTGATATACGGAGAACATCTTGCTGATGGTTGAAACCGTAGTGGTTTGTTAATTGTGTTTGTGTTGAAAATACATGTTCAGATGCTCAGAGAAGCAATCTAGCAACAGCCTCTGACAGCAGAATTATACATAATATAAAATGGCATCAGCAAATGTCATTCAGAACATATGTATATGTATATGTATGTAATGTATATCAAATGTTTATTCATGAAATGCTTGAGGTTAATATAATGTTCCCTCTTTTAAACACATGTTGTAATATTTGTGTTATTATAGACTTACTGACTGTAAACTCTCAGAGGCTGAATGTGAAGTCGTGGCCTCAGCTCTGAAGTCTGACCCCTCCCATCTGAGAGATCTGGACCTGAGTCACAACGCTCTGGAGGATTCAGGAGTGGAGCGTCTGAGTTCTGGACTAAAGAGTCCAAACTGCAGACTGGAGACTCTCAGGTCAGTTCACTGACTGAACTTCATATGGATCCGTTTGTGTTTATGATTTTCTGAATTTGCCTGAGAACAAAGACATTTTAATTATTTTCCTCACTTTTGCTAATGACTGAATATTCATCAGAATAACAAAGAGAAGGTGAATGTGTGAGGGAGAGTGTGTGAGCTTCCATAGACTCACTCTGTGCTCCAGGAGTCAGTGGAGATGCTGTCAGTACTGAAGAGCTGTGAGGGAGATGAAGGAGTTGTTAAACATCTGATCAAAGTTAGAGTTCCAGATCATCAATGGATTGTTTCTGCTTCATCGCTGACATTAAAACCCTGTTTAGCTCTGAACAGATTATTAAATCTGGAGTTATTTCAAACAGGAACATTGTTTTCTAAAGTTACATCATGTTTTCTTTATTCAGACTGGAGAGCTGCAGTTTGTCAGAGATCAGCTGTTCTGTTCTGGCCTCAGCTCTGAAGTCCAACCCCTCCCATCTGAGAGATCTGAACCTGAGTCTCAATGATCTGCAGGATTCAGGAGTGGAGCTGCTGAGAGATCTTCTGGAGAGTCCAGACTGCAGACTGGAGACTCTCAGGTCAGTTCACTGACTCTCTGTTACTGCTGGAGATCTCATGTTTCATTAGTTATTCAAGCTGATTCTTCTACATTAATATATTACATCCATATGTTTGAAATTGTTGTTTTGTTCATATTTTTAAAGCAGGGGTGTCAAACTCAAATACACAGTGGGCCAACATTAAAAAGTGGGTACTAGTGGAGGGCCGGACTGGTTCAATGTTTATTGCAGAACTTATTGAAATTAACTTATTGCACATATTGAACCTGGAACTAACAAAGCTTCAATTATTGCCTATAAAAACAACATTAAACATTAAATAATCAGGTGCATTCATTTCTTATGGCTCTATCTGCAGCTTTTCCAGAGTCATTTCTTATGAGTACATTTTCCCACAGGCCAACAACAGCTTCAACAAAACTATTCCCCTCAAAGAGAAAACCAAACATGCCCTGTCGTCCTGAGAGAAAGTGCAGAAGGAAACATCCATTAAACTCAGTGTGCTGCTCTGTGATGCTAGCTCAGATACTTGGCATCTCATCTTGGGTGCAAGGTCATCAATGTTTGGGCTCAGGCTCTGAGCTGAGGAGACCCTCAGGATGGAGTGAAGGTGTGCGTTAGGGCTGAACGATATACCGTGTCATGGCGATAACCGCGGTATGCGCATGCGCGGTATTCACACCGCAGGGACGTGCGGTTTTATTCATTAAAAAAAAAAATGCTAACGCACTTTATCACAGAATTCAAAATAAAGATACCCTTATTACTTATCGAAACTGCACATACAATATATCCGATTAAAGCTGAGACTCCACAGATTATTTAAGTATAGTATCTAAGCGATCCGATCTCGCAACAGGGGAAGCAAACACAGACATCGCAACACGTACCTTTTACGGAGCTTTTACGGGAGATCTTCTCACCGTAGCTGTCAATCTGATCAAAAGACGTGTTCAATGGCATTAAAACGAGAAAGAAAAAACGCGGCTGAATCGGTTGATCCATAGGTTGATAATGTTTCTGTGGCTTTGAAGCAATTGTTTATAATCCATAATTCCATTTTTATGTAAAAATCGGAGCACAACAGTTAGCTGCTAATGGTAACCACCAGAGTGTATGCAGCTTCCGGTTTTGGCTACGCGTCACTCTCACTCCTTATTTGGTAATGTGTGTGTGTTAGACTGCGCTGGGCTGCCGCATAGCCAAGACCGGAAGCAGCAGCCACTCTGGTAGCTACCATTAGCAGCTAACTTTTGCTCTGCGATATTTACATAAAAATGGAATTATGGATTATAAATTAAATCATTTTTTTATACAGAGACGTTAAAAACCTATGGATTAACCGATTCAGCCGCGTTTTTTCTTTCTCGTTTTAATGCCATTGAACACGTCTTTTGATCAGATTGACAGCTACGGTGAGACATCTCCCCTAGAAGCTACGTAAAGGTACGTGTTGTGATGTCTGTGTTTGCTTCCCCTGTCCGAGTTCAGATCACTCAGTGATGATACTATATATCTAAATAATCTGTGGAACCTCAGCTTTAATCGGATATCTTGTAAGTTTAGCTACGATAAGTAATAAGGGTACTTTTATCTTGAGTTCTGTGCCAAAGTGCGTTAGCATTTTTCGCTCAGGGGTCATTTAGATGCTTCTTATGAGACTTGTGTTTTGTTTTGGTAAAAATGGTTTGTATCGTCAGTTAGCTGAGATTATTTCCGTTAATCTGGTATAACACATTAATAGGTTCTTAAATATTACGATCCCCTGAGACACTGTCGTGAAAAAAAAACCCTAAGTACCCGCCGGGACTTTGGGGTTTAACAGGTTAAAAAAAACGCAATATATACCGCAGGGGGGGGGGGAAATCGCAATGTCAGTTTTTTTCAATACCGTGCAGCCCTAGTGTGCGTGCAATATACCGGCGGGCCAGATCTAATCGTAATTAGAAATTATCCTGCGGGCCGAAATTTAATCCGAGTTTGACATGTGTGCTCTAAATGTAGTTTGCAGTCATAGTAGTTGATTGTTTTATAAAGTAACTATTATTCTTCCACTGTTAGTTGTTAAAGTTAATGTATGTTTTTCTTTAGTAAATTATCTGAATAAAGAAGCTCCTCTGAACTAATATTAGTTTAACATAAAGTTAACTTTCTGACATAGAAATGTTAATGTTCCCATCATGTAGACGTGTTTCCACAGATAATAACCAGAAGCTGATATAATGATGATCCACAATAACAGAATGACAGTCACTGTAATTCAGGGAAAGATCATTGATTAGAACGCAGTAATGATGAGCTGCACATTTCAGACCTGAACATCTGACTGGATTATAAACTGATTTTATCCTCATCATGTTTTCTTTATTCAGACTGATAGAGCTGCAGTTTGTCAGAGATCAGCTGTTCTGCTCTGATCTCAGCTCTGAAGTCCAACCCCTCCCATCTGAGAGATCTGGACCTGAGTCTCAACGCTCTGCAGGATTCAGGAGTGAAGCTGCTGAGAGATCTTCTGGAGAGTCCAGACTGCAGACTGGAGACTCTCAGGTCAGTTCTCTGACTCTCTGTTACTGCTGGAGATCTCATGTTTCATTAGTTATTCAACCTGATTCTTGTTCATTAATAACTTGCATGCATAAAGTAGTAAATGTCCTTTTATTCATGTTTTTATTTGTACGTACTAAAGGAAGAACCGCATAAATAAATATTGACTGTTTCTTAAAGGAACTTTAATAGCTTTTATTTGTAAAAAGTAAATCTGTGTTTTTAATATTTAGTAAACGATAACGTCTGAATAAAGGTCATCTGAAGTGATATTAGTTTTACATGATAAAGTTTACTTTCTGAAAGAGACCTATTTTATTGTTCATTCATTTCAATGTTGAGAAACACATCTGATTATAAATTCATTTTTTATCCTCATCATGTTTTCTTTATTCAGACTGAGAGGCTGCAGTTTGTCAGAGACCAGCTGTTCTGCTCTGATCTCAGCTCTGAAGTCCAACCCCTCCCATCTGAGAGATCTGGACCTGGGTAACAACAATCTGCAGGATTCAGGAGTGGAGCTGCTGAGAGATCTTCTGGAGAGTCCAGACTGCAGACTGGAGACTCTCAGGTCAGTTCACTGACTCTCTGTTACTGCTGGAGATCTCATGTGTTCAGTTTGTAATTGAAACTAATTTATGTACATTAATAACTTGAATCCATAAAGAATCCGGGTCCGGGCCCCCAAGTAATATGAGAGCTGTTCTCTGCCGTCATGTCGGCTAAACTCTGCTGCTCCGGGATGACGGTCTAACTGCTGGTGAACTCGGAGCGCTGTTAGAACGGGACGCTCAGATACTCAGAGCAGAGCTCACTGTCAGAGAGCCTGATGTGCAGGGATTGTTAGGGGGGTTATTTTTCTTAATATTATTTAATTTAGCCTTTAGCTGGCTAACTAGCATACATTGTCACTAACTCCTAATGTTAGCTTTATCCTTCGTTTTCCAATAGATTTTTTGATGTTACAGACCGCCACATGTCAATAGTCCGGTGTTTTAGATCCTGTGCTAAGGCTATAAACAGAGGTGGAAGTAGTACTTCTAAATAAAAGTAGAAGTACTCAGATCGTGTACTTGAGTAAAAGTAGAAGTACCAGAGTGTAGGAATACTCTGTTACAGTAAAAGTCCTGCATTAAAAAATGTTCCTCAAGTAAAAGTAGAAAAGTATTATCATCAAAATATGGTTAAAGTGGACCTATCATGCTATATTTGAATAATATATTGTAGGTATATACCTACCTATATAAAACATGTCTGTGATGGGTTTTTTTTCAAAATACCAAACAGATCATGCATTTTAGCCATGCCTCATTTAGCTCTATTTGCTCTTTTTTAGCCCTGTTTTTGCAAGGGCTGATTCTGTGAGAAGTCTTCTTTGCTGCTTTTGTGGCAGACTACAGCGCCACTTACAGGCCTGGCATATGTACTACATCGTTTCCAGCGCTTTCGAGCGGCAATGGCCGTGGCTGTCTCCTCCTGATAGGTGGAGAGTTGCCCATATAGGCGGAGCTCCCCGTTTCTGACGTCAGAACAATTTCAAATCTGTCTGGTCTACCTGCATGTGCCATCCGACCTCTGCAGCTCATCCAGAATGCAGCGGCTCGTCTGGTCTTCAACCTTCCTAAATTTTCCCACACTACTCCGCTCCGCCGCTCCCTTCACTGGCTTCCGGTAACTGCTAGAATCCACTTCAAGACACTGGTACTTGCTTACCATGCTGCGAATGGATCTGGCCCTTCTTACATCCAGGACATGGTTAAACCGTACACCCCAGCGCGTGCACTACGCTCTGCATCAGCCAAACGACTCGCTGTGCCCTCGCTGCGAGGGGGACCCAAGTTCCCATCGGCGAAAACACGTGGGTTTGCTGTCCTGGCTCCAGGATGGTGGAATGAGCTCCCCATTGACATCAGGACGGCAGATAGCTTGCACATCTTCCGGCGCAAACTGAAAACTCATCTCTTTCGACTCCACTTCGAGCGATAGAACTATTAACAAAGCACATATATACTAATAAAGGACTGGCTTTTCTAAAGCCAGTTGAGTAGCACTTGAAATTTTTTTGCTCTATGAAACCTGATGTACTTATATGATTCTGTTTTCTTCAAGTTGTATTTTGTTGGACGAACGCACTTATTGTAAGTCGCTTTGGATAAAAGCGTCAGCTAAATGCAATGTAATGTAATGTATCAGATCCGTAGCAGCCCCGTTTTTAGAGATTTGGGTATGGAGGAAAAGAGAGAGGGTTGTGTTTTCTGACACATATTCATGTATAAAGGACGTACAAAAGTGCATTTTGCATGATAGGTCCCCTTTAAAGTAGCGACAGTAAAAGTAGTCGTTGTGCAGATTGGTCCATTTCAGAATAATATATATGATATGTTTTATAATGATTGATCATGAAAGTGTTCTCAAAGCTGGTAAAGGTGCAGCTAGTTTGAATGACTTTGTATACTGCAGGGTAGCTTGTGGATTTACTGCATGCATCGATATGTTTCTATTGGATGTGACTCTTTGCGTTTTCTTATTGTAACCACTGATTCTTTACTTGTTCTGACAACACATCTGATTTTTATTGGATTTTTATTATCATGTTTTCTTTATTCAGACTGGAGAGCTGCAGTTTGTCAGAGATCAGCTGTTCTGCTCTGGCCTCAGCTCTGAAGTCTGACCCCTCCAGTCTGAGAGAGCTGGACCTGAGTAAGAACAAGCTGAAGGATTCAGGAGTGAAGCTGCTGAGAGATCTTCTGGAGAGTCCAGACTGCAGACTGGAGACTCTCAGGTCAGTTCACTGACTCTCTGTTACTGCTGGAGATCTCATACACTGTGTGCACAATTATTAGGGGAGCTGTATTTTTGAGGATTCATTTTATTATTGAAGAACTATAGTACTCTCGGTCAATCCAAAATGTTAATGAACCTCTAACCTGAATATTTAAGTAAGTAACAATTAGGTTTTGGTGTTCTTAGGAGAAAATCTGTGCGTGCACAACTATTGGGTAACTATTAGTTTGCAGAATGAATATGCAACTAAAGGAACAACTCAAATGTTCCCATCTCACTTGTTTAATTCCATCTGTTAAAGGGAGAATAGTTATCAACTCAAAATGTAAATCAAATAAAATGTCTGACATTTCATAAAAAGACCAGATACCAATGTAGCCACGCTTCTCTTCAATAACATTCACAATACTTCCATTCATGGAGTCTGTCAGTTTCTTGATCTGTTGACGATCAACCACAGCCTCCCAGACTCTGTTCAGAGAGGTGAGCTGTCTCCCTTCACCGTAAACCTCCTGTTTAAGAAGGGCCCACAAGTTCTCTATAGGGTTTAGGACAGGGGAGGAAGGGTTTAGGTCAGGTGAGGAAGGGTTAAGGTCAGGTGAGGAAGGGTTTAGGACAGGGGAGGAAGGGTTAAGGTCAGGTGAGGAAGGGTTTAGGACAGGTGAAGAAGGGTTTAGGTCAGGTGAGGAAGGGTTTAGGTCAGGAGAGGAAGGGTTTAGGACAGGTGAGGAAGGGTTTAGGTCAGGTGAGGAAGGGTTTAGGACAGGTGAGGAAGGGTTTAGGTCAGGTGAGGAAGGGTTTAGGACAGATGAGGAAGGGTTCAGGTCAGATGAGGAAGGGTTTAGGACAGGTGAGGAAGGGTTTAGGACAGGTGAAGAAGGGTTTAGGTCAGGTGAGGAAGGGTTTAGGTCAGATGAGGAAGGGTTTAGGACAGGTGAGGAAGGGTTTAGGACAGGTGAGGAAGGGTTTAGGACAGGTGAGGAAGGCTTTAGGTCAGATGAGGAAGGGTTTAGGACAGGTGAGGAAGGGTTTAGGACAGGTGAGGAAGGGTTTAGGTCAGGTGAGGAAGGTTTACGTCAGGTGAGGAAGGGTTTAGGACAGGTGAAGAAGGGTTAAGGTCAGGTGAGGAAGGGTTTAGGACAGGTGAGGAAGGGTTTAGGTCAGGTGAGCAAGGGTAAAGGTGAGGAAGGGTAAAGGTGAGGAAGAGGGCAATGTCCTTATTGTTTCATCTTTAATGTCTTTACTGGTGAACCACACAGCAGAGTACTTGATGCCTGTGATGGAGCGTTGTTCTTCATAAAATCATGGTCTTCCTGAAAGATGCAGACTTGTTCCTGTACCACTGATGGAAGAAAGTGTCTTCTAAAAACTGGCAGTAGGTTCAGGAGTTGATTTTGAGTCCATCTTCAACCTGAAAAGGTCCAACCAGCTCATCTTCAACAACACCAGTAGTCCACCTCCACCTTGCTGGTGTCTGAGTGGAAGTGGAGCTCTGTGCCTGTTACTGATCCATCTGCTCCGTCAAGAGTCAGCCTCATCTCATCAGTCCATGAAACCTTTGACAGATCTGTCTTCAGATATGTCTTGGCCCAGTCTTGAAGTTTGAACTTGTGTGTCTTGTTCAGAGGTTGGGTTTCAGCCTCTCTTACCTTGGCCATGTCTCTGAACACCTGAGACTTCTGGGCCCTCCAGGTACACGTAGCTCACAGTTCTGGAATATGATACTGGAGGATAATGGCTTCCTGGTAACTTCACGTTTCATTCTTCTCAAATCTTTGAGATTTCATCTTTTTCTCAACACGTTTCTTGCGACCCTGTTGACTATTTTCAACAAGACGTTTGATGGTCCTGTGATCACACCCCAATATCTTATCAATATAGTTACAACGATCTGCAGGATTCAGGAGTGAAGCTGAGAGATCTTCTGGAGAGTCTCAGGTCAGTTCACTGACTCTCTGTTACTGCTGGAGATTACATTACATTACTTGTTAGATGCTTTTTTATCCAAAGCGACTAACATTCAATACTGTGAACAATCCCCACAAGAGCAATTTAGGGTGAAGTGTCTTTCCCAGGGACACAACGACATGCTGACTGCAGTGGGGTTTGAACCTGTGACCCCCTGATTCAAAGTTTAGTGCACTAACTCACTGAGCCACAGCCTCCCTTAGATCTCATGTTTCATTAGTTATTCAACCTGATTCTTCTACATTAATATATTACATCCATATGTTTGTAATTGTTGTTTTGTTCATATTTTAATTAGGGATGCTCGATTATGGCAAAAATCATAATCACGATTATTTTGGTCAAAACTGATATCAGGATTATTAAATACGATACGGGGGCAGAATGTGTGACGCACGACACATTGAGAGCATCGTTGCGAAAGGGAATGCAGCAAAAATAATCGTTTTATTTCGATTACGTTGTTTTCATAATCGTTGCAAGACAAAATCGAAATTAAAATACGATTAATTGCACATCCCTAATTTAAATGTTTACGTACTAAATAAAGTACTTAAAGGAACTGTAAAAGATATCTGCTGTTATTTGTAAAACGTAAATCTGTGTTTTTAATATTTAGTAAACGATAACGTCTGAATAAAGGTCATCTGATGTAATATTAGTTTTACATGATAGTTTACTTTCTAAAGGAGACAGATTTTATTGTTCATTCATTTAAATGTTGAGAAACACATCTGATTATGAATTCATCTTTATCCTCATCATCTTTTATTTATTCAGACTGAGCTGCTGCAGGTTGTCAGAGATCAGCTGTTCTGCTCTGATCTCAGCTCTGAAGTCCAACATCCATCTGAGAGAGCTGGACCTGAGTCTCAACGCTCTGCAGGATTCAGATGAGAAGCTGCTGAGAGATCTTCTGGAGAGTCCAGACTGCAGACTGGAGACCCTCAGGTCAGTGAGGGGTCTCTGCTGGTTCAGCAGTATTGTATGAAACTCAGGGAGGTGTTTCTCTCACTGGGGAACCAGATCAGTGATGTTACCCACTGACTGCAGGCTCTTCCATTCTTCCATCAGCTATAGCAGGCCAGCTGGAAATGCAAAGCCACATTTAGTCAGTCATCTCCTCTCTAGGGCTGCCCTCCACTGCAAACTCTTCTAGTCGACTGATAGTCATCAATTCAGGCGATTAGTCGACTCGCGTTTACGATATATTATGATTATTCATATATTAGGTTTTTCTCCCAAAATGGTTTCAGTCTCCAAGGCTGATAAAGAGCATTATTATAACAGTGTTGTGCTTCACATAGAATATATAATAAGACTGTAATAATGAACCTTTGAAGTATAGATGAGATCTTACAGTAGAGAGCGCATGAGAGTCACAGCACACGGACGCAGCGGTGCAAACAGCAGAAGCTCCGCTAAGGAATCTCAATGTGTGTGAACAAGCAGCGAGGACACACACTGAACGTTTAGTTTAGTTTCTATAATTCATATCTGAATATAACAACCCATTAAAAACTACACAGGAAACGGAAACACTGAAAATATGACCGTGGGCTGGAATCCCTCCGAACATGACGCCCTCATCATGAGATGAGAGCTTTATGGTGTTCTGAGGTCAGAAGGACTTTATACTATAGGTCTCTATATGTTGATGCAGAGCTAGCTGCTGCCTGACTCTCTGCTTTCCTCCCAGTCTGAGAGAGGGACACACGTTGGGGATAATCATACGGAGGAGACTTCTTCTCAGTGGAGTCTGCATGTCACCTTGTGGGTCCTTTACGCTCAGAAGGATCCACACTTTAGATGTCCTGCCCGACAGAATGATCTCAATGACCAGGCTCCGCTCTGAATAAAGGCTGAGGGTTTCCAGCTGACTTCTTTAGCCGACTAACGTTCAGTCGACTAATTGGGGGCAGCCCTACAGCTTTCCCCCAGACATATGGGGTTTCACAGAAGAGTGGGAAAGGTAGTCTGTTCTTGATGGGATGAGTTCACTGGTTACTTCCTGTCATGCAGCTGAGAGCTGTGGCAGGCAGTCGTAGTGTTTGCAGAGAAGATATGATGGGATGTAAAGCCTGAGATCAGGACTCTGAAGCTGACTCAAAGAACTAACACTTATTCAAACTGGATCTCAAACTGTTGGATTGTGTTCATCCCTACAGGATCAGAAAAGAGACGATCAGAGCCAAGATCCAGAAGACCTGTGAGTACTGAAACCATATCCTCCATTCATCAAGATATTGTACAATAAATCTGATCTTAAAAGGTATTTTTAGTACAAGAATTATTATTATTGTTTTATTATTATTTTTCTCACCTCTTCTCTCCATCAGGTGTCTCCGATGTGGAACAGGAAGTGAAGACAGACACAAAGGTGAGAGAGGAGCAGTTGAACAGAGTTGAAGCTAGAACTTAACTTGATAATAAAATAAATAACTTTGTTTGTTCCAGGCTCCTGAATCCTTCTCACCTGAACACACAACTGAGTCTTCATACAGGTAACCCTATAACATGACCAAATATTATTTTAAACACATATATTCTATTAATTGTGTTTAATTTCATGTCTTTCACCTTGAGGTATTGCATCCAATCTCTTTCCAGCAGACATAAATAAAATAATGACTGTGTGTAGGATTGTTTTCTTGTATCAGTCTAGATTCTCGCTGGACTAGACATTTTGTTAATTTAATGAAAGTGTACACACACATTCTGATGCATGTGCACTGTAAAAAAAAACTCGTAAAAAAACGGTCAAAGTACTGGCAGCAGCGGCTGCCAAACAAAAACCCTTAAATTAAAGTAAAATACTTTAACTGAAATAAAGTGAATAAGCCATTAGTTTACGAGAATTGTCCTTAAAGATTGTACAGGAAAACACTGTAATTTTACAGATTTATCTGCTTTTTTTACAATCAATAACCTTTAATAAAAGTACAGCACTAAAACTTCTACGGGCAAAAAACGGTCAAATGACTGGCAGCAGCGGCTGCCAAACAAAAACCATAAAATTAAAGTAAAAATACTTTAACTGAAATAAAGTGCAAAAGCAATTAGTATACAGAAATTGTCCTTAAAGATTTTAGAGGAAACTTTCCTCTCTTTTCAAAATCCATTGTCTTAAAATGTTACATTAAAATACCTTAAATAAAGTTCTGATGAGAAAAACAGTTTTAAAATTTTTTTTGTATTAGATTTGTATGATCAAACACTAAAATAAATACAGAACCTAAAGTTCTACAGCTAGAATACTGTTATCTTACAGCTTTTTTCTAACATTTTCCAATCAAACAGGTTCAACAAAAAGACATCACAAAATGTTCTGTAGGAAACAATTACTCTGAAAACTTAAAATATAAAAATATTTGTAGAATTATAGTTAAATCAGGAGAGACGTGATGTAGACGTGATGTATGGAATTTATTATCGGTCATATTATATAAATGAAACATAATGATGACAGTTTATAACAAGTGAATGAAATGGTGTTTTGGCGATTAGGCCCAGGTTTTGTAGGATATCAATCGGGAAGGGAAGAACCGTTTCCGATGAACCCCCCTGGGTCTAGACACTGGTGGTGGTGATAAGTGGTTAGGTCCGGTTGGAAGGGAGAAGGTTAAGCTTGGCCCTGAGTTGAAAGCAGGAGGCGAAGGGGTGGTGGAGGGTTGCGCGTTGACACCTGGAAGACAGCTGATAGGAAAGGGGAGAGCATATATAGAGGGATTAACAGGTGCGATGATTAGGCTTGTAAATGGAGGGGAATGATAGGTTAGCTGAGGAGTGGCGCTCCCTGTCATTTAGTGCAGGGAGCGAGTATTGCCATGACGTGCAATACGGAGTGATAGGTCTTCCTGTCTGAACTTGCGCTAAGCTTCATTACAACTAATGAATACAGCATTTCATATTTAAACATACTTATAAATAATAGAAACAAAAAGTAAGTTTAATTTTTTAAGATTACTTTGAAACATTCTCAACTGAAAATAACAGAAATTGCAAAATGGCGACATATGTTCACATTGTCAATGTGAAGGAGCAGTGTGCAGGATTTAGTACATCTAACAATGGTAAATTCCAACCAATGGATAACTTGTTCACTCACCCTCCTATCCCAAGTTTGTAGGAGAATGAATATTGGCTGCAAAAAACTTGAGGCCCAATCATGTTTCCTCTGTCCATTCTGCGCTACTGTAGACGTGGCAGTGCAACCTAGAGTACAAACAGATCAGAATCAGAAACGGATTTATTGGTTCACATGTACGAGGAATTTGACTAGGTGTCGTACATACAAATCAAAAATCAAAAAAAGTACACCGATAGCGAACTATATTAAGAACACTGTAATAAAAATATAGTAAGATAGAAATAAAATAAAGAAGTAATTTACATCGAAATAGAATGCAATAAATGATAGAATATAAAATATGTGCAGTAAGCAATATTTAAACATTGCATTATTTACCATCCTGTGATCTCCATTATGTAATGCATAGAGTCTGCGTTGTGGCTGAGGTAAAGTGTCAGTAGGGGGGGGGCGGGCTTTGTTGAGGTGGCGAGAGGTTTTGGTCCTGATGGAGAGAGGTTCTGGTCCTGATGGAGAGAGGTTTTGGTCCTGATGGAGAGAGGTTCTGGTCCTGATGGAGAGAGGTTTTGGTCCTGATGGAGAGAGGTTCTGGTCCTGATGGAGAGAGGTGTTGGTCCTGATGGAAAGAGGTTTTGGCCCTGATGGAGAGAGGTTTTGGTCCTGATGGAGAGAGGTTCTGGTCCTGATGGAGAGAGGTTCTGGTCCTGATGGAGAGAGGTTTTGGTCCTGATGGAGAGAGGTTCTGGTCCTGATGGAGAGAGGTTCTGGTCCTGATGGAGAGAGGTGTTGGTCCTGATGGAGCGCAACCTCCTGCCAGAGGTTTGTGTTGAAGGCAGAGCTGAAGTCCACAAACAGGATCCTGGCGTAGGTTCCTGCTGTGTCCAGGTGCTGGAGGAGGAAGTGAAGTGATAACTATTAGTAAACCATAATGATGGATGTTATTATCAGGAGCTGCCAATAGATCCCCTAAATCTTGTATGATGGACCTTTGAAACACACACACACACACACACACACACACACACACACACACACACACACACACACACACACACACACACACACACACACACACACACACACACACACACACACACACACACACACACACACACACACACACACACACACACACACACACACACACACACACACACACACACACACACACACACACACACACACACACACACACGTTATTGAGAGCATCCCAAGGGCATTGATTATTTCATAAGTTTAGAAGGGGGGAACATAGTCTACCAACAGTTAGCTTTTGTTAATTTTACCTCGAGCCAAACTTCTGAGACTTGTTTCTGAAATCCCTTTCTCTTAAAGTGAAGACATAAATAAATAAATAATGGAGCTTACCCTACAACTAACCACTGGATTGCTTGTCTAACATGACCTAGTCCATAAGTGAGGTAAGGGTGGGAACAATCAAACGCACCCTCCAAGGCACTGCGTGTTAGCGAAGTACAACTGGGATTTCGAAGAGGAAGATATGCTTGGTCAATTCTTAATAAAAAAGAAAAACCAACAAATTGGGCACTTGAGTTTTCATTAGCAGTGCCTAGCTACAGCTGCGGAGCTTCGGTCAACACCGCTAACAGTCTATTTCCTTAAAATGGTACATAACGCTGAATCTATATTTTCATCTTCAGGTGATGAAATCTGCATAATGTCCCTGTACAATAAGGTTCGAGCATTTTGTAATCCAGTGAGGAAATTCAAGACCAGTAAATATTGATTGATTAAACAACACTAAATAAAATGTTAGTGTTTTCTTCAAACTCAGACTCTCTGCTGCGGCTGTACCTCAAAGACAAAACAATTGTCTGATGATCTTTGTTGAACAAGGTCTGATTGTCCTGTACATGTACAATGTGGGGTATTTTTAAATACTTTACTAAACCACATTCAATATTATGTTAGACACAAGTTAGTTATTACTCACATATCAAAGTATTTTCATCTGCAAGATGGAAGAATAGCTGGGTGCTGCCTGGAGAGACTGATGAGGGACACAGGCTGGCGTCAGCAGCTTTCCACACAAAAGGCGCATTCACACCGCAGTACTTTTCCCACAAAGGTTCATGAGAACTTAGTTCATGAGAACTTTTTAGTTCTCATGAACTAAGTACAGATCGCGTTCACACCGGAATAAGTCCCTGGGGGAGGATTAGGCAAATGAAGCCGCTGACGTCACTTCTTCTTCTTCTGCTTTGGGTTTACTGGCAGGCCGCAAACCACTTCACGGTGTATACTGCCGCCCAAAGTCCCCGGCCGGAAGTCCCCGGAGTTGGGGACTGGCTTCAGTAGAAGCTGCTGGGACTCCCAGCAGCTTCTACTGAAGCCTTCTGAGTAAATCGCCAGAACGCCGACACCTCCTCATCTCCACCGCTCCCATGTTTTATTTTGTGTTGCCATAAGTTAGTCTCTCTGCGTTTCTGCGCTGGGCTAATGCTAATGCTAATTATGCTAATGCGAGGATAATAAAATGGCGGCTTCACAAAACTTTTTGGGAGTTTTACGGGGCGTGGTTTGCAATCCGCCCAGCCAATCAGAAATATAGCTCTTTTCTCACAAGAGAGCCGCACGAAAGTCCCTGCTCTCTAGCAGCTCTCTGCTCTCTAGCAGGGACTTTCGTGGGGGTAAAAAGGTTCTCATGAACTAATTTTAGTACCGGCTCTTTTTGGTGTGAACGCGACAAAAGAGTTCTCATGAACTAAGTTCTCATGAACCTTTGTGGGAAAAGTACTGCGGTGTGAATGCGCCTAAAGCCATCACATCATCTCTTCCATAGTCCTCACTGTCCACTGGTCAAAAGAGTGAACATCACAGCTGTCATGTTAACCCTTTGTTACACAACATACAACCAATTTGTGTCAAAAGTGACCCGTATTAGTTTTAATTGTAAATATATTTGCAATAAATTACTTTAATCATTCAGGATTCCAGGTATTCCTCAATTAACCTGTTTTGGATCAACACCAATTCTAATTTTTACCTTTCTTACTTTTTGAATAAAAATCATGTTTTTATCACTACACTTCTAAGGCACAACATGGGTCAAACATTACCTGTATTCTTTTGCTATGTTATTTCATGCATGGCTGAGTGTTTCTTTACTATACATTTTCAAAAATAATTAATTTTAGTAGTGATTTGTACCAAGCATGTATGATGTAGTAATACAAAAAGTATTTTGGTTCACACAGTGTGACATTAGCTAGTCATGTTAGCGTGTAATATATAATATAGAGCAGAGCTAACTAGCAAGTTAGCCGAACGTTAGCGGTTAGCTTTCTATGCTATGCTAGCTGTTGTACTGAACATTAACAAACTAGATTCCGCTGTAAGAAAGCTGTGAAACTTTACATTAAACTTGGCGACAACACTGTGACACCCCTCTGCATGTTTATGTGTAATTCTCCCGTGTTGGAGACGAGAGGGTGGGGGGGGGGGGGGTAGCACTGCAATAAACTGTAAACTAACGTTAGCAGCCGCATGTTAAGCCGGGTTTCCCGGGCGCACCAACATCTTGCAAGAAAACAGCATCTCAGGGCTTCTTAACATTTAACAATCTATTATTAATGATGCATACCAACTTAACGGGAAGAAACTCAGCTAACTAGAAGATGAAACGTAACCTTAAATACAAAATAAAACATTCACAAACTAAGGATTATCTAAATACATGTTTAACTCCATTACAGTTGCAGGACTCACCAGATCTCAAGTCTTCTGTTCTTTGTTGACGTCCCGATGCTCATATTTAACGTGTAGGCCTATATGTAAGACGACCCCGATATTAATCCATAAACTCCTGCAGCAGACACACAGACAGCTGTAGCTCCAGCAGGAGGAGACCCGCTCAAACGTGGATGTTTCAAATGTGAACGACTGTGACAGGCGCGGACAGTTCTCATTGGCAGGTTTCTTCGATTATGTTTAGATTAACCAATGAGGAGTGTTGTGGACTCATTCCAAACATGCCTGACTTGTCTGCCGTGTTTTGGCTGAATTCTATTTCAAGTGCCGTAGCTTTGGCTGTCGGCCAGAATCCGAAAACCATACATTATACTGTAAAACTAAGGTTTATTACTGTATATTGACCAATGGGAAAAAAAAACACAGCAACAGAACACATAAATACAACAAATAACTGTGACTTATTGTTGAGTAAATAACAGTGTGTGTTTTAAACCTTGGTCCTCCCTGCAGAGATTTCTCCACTTTCTATGATTTGTATTTTTTTTAATGATATTGTCAACTGTAGATGTTTACAATATAGTAAGTTAGGAATTCAATGAAAACATATTTATTTACTTTTGTTTCAACATTGGATATTTTGTGTTTGTGGTGGATTCAATCGAATATTGAGAAAATGATTTATGTAAAACTGTTTTACTTACATTTGACCTTTTTTTTAATTTGACGCTTTTTTTTACAGTTTTATGTTTACCTTAAAATTACAAAGAAATATCTTAGTCTTATAATAGTAATACACTTTTATATTACGAGTTACATATTTAATTACAGATAATACTTTTTATTTTACGTACATCTGCATGTATTTTCTGAAAGTGCAAAAATACTGTAAATATTATATAGTACATTTACTGTAAAAAACAAAAAAGAAGAAAATAAACGTTATTTGTTGTTATTGTCAAAATACTTAAAATAATGTTTTGGGTTGTTAATTTATAGTTAATATCTGTCATTTTACAGGATTTTGCAAGTTATTTTAAAAAACAAGATAATTACTATAAAAATGTACAGTTATTTCCGGTACAATTACGATCTTTTTTTACAGTGTAGACACATCTTCAGTGATGTTCCTGTAATCATCAGGTGTTTCAGATCTTTCATCAAACCCTCCTCCAGGTCAGACTCCAGCTGGATGAACACCTGTCAGTCAGAACACAAGCCAGTGAAGGCTTGTTGTAGTAACTTTATGGTCCTTGGTCTTGAAATGACCTTCAATCACGCCTCAAACTGACGGCACTTGTCTCAATAGCATGTTTTAAATTGAAGTTGTGTGAAGTCCTTACAACCAGCTGCTCTTGCAGTACTAAGTAGTGCACCTTTCTTACTGTCCTAATGTGCACAATGTAGTGACTGCTTTTTTGTCTTTTGTTTTCTTAGTTATGTTCTCTGTATTTTATATGTTTGTGTTCTGTGTAACGTTGCTGCCTTCTTGGCCAGGTCAGCTTTGCAAATGAGATTCTATCTCAATGCTTTTATCTGGTTAAATGAAGGTTAAATACATTTAAAAAAAACTTGTCTCTTGTGTGTCTACAGGTTCAGGTGTCCTGGTTCAGGTGCGTTCCAGTGTGCTTCGACTGGCCTGGTGTTCGTCATGGCTCAGGAGGCGGAGCTTCTGTACAGGACGGTCCCTTGGGATGAGAGTCTCCTCCAATCAGCTGGCAAGCAGGCAGCAGGGCCACTGTTCGACGTGAAGAGTTCTGATGAAGCTGCCGTATGCCAGCTCCGTCTGCCACACAGTGAGACAGAGGATGGTAAAGACATCTAGTGTTAACAAATATACTTATATAATGTTTAGCACCTTATAATATCCACTACCGTTCAAAAGTTACGAAGCAGTTTTATTAATTTACAAAGATAAGATAATTCAGACACAAAATCTGCTCTTTACATTCAAAATAGTTGTGTCCCCAAAAGAAGAAGAATGAAATTATTAAAACATACATTTAGACGATGTGTTGCATGACATCATTATTGAAGCAGACGATGCAATGCAGCTCTAAATACTGAGTTGGAGTGTCTTTGGGCCTCTGCAGTCTCCTCACTGTATATTAAAGACATGTAAACTGTGACCTGTCAGTCCACAGCATGTTTAGCTGCTAACAGTGCTAACTCAACGCTAACTCTCACTCGAAGCTAGCAGTTTGATTAATTATTACTTTGTTATCCATCTCTTGCTCTTTCTGCTCTTCACATTGTCAGTCTGGCTGCAGCATGTACAAAACAAAACAACACTTATAAGTTAGACTTTCTACGCCCTGAAAGCTCTTCACACATCTAGAGAATCACTCAGACACGAGACCGGACACAGTCAAGCTGTTCTGGCTGCAGATTACAAACATCTCAGCAGTCTTTTAAATTAGAAAATAATTACGCATGCTCACCTCCAGAAAGATCACAGGGGACGGAACAATAATTAAACATTAGAATAAAAGGTGGAGGATATAAACTGGTACATCCTAGTAAGGCTCCAAAGTGAATGACATTAGATGAACATTAGCTCTGAGCTAAAGTGGTGTGACTTTGAATATGATGAAGCTGTTTCAGCAGCAAAGCAACACTGCTCTTTGCTCCACAGCGCTGCTCCTGGACGGCCTGTTGTCTGTCGTCCACATCACTGAGGAAGGCCTGAGCATCCTGGAGCCGCTGGAGATCACACACACCCACGTGGTGGTGAAGGTGCCTCACCTCTCTCTCTATGGCCTGGTCTGCGATATCCTTAAAAGGGTTCTGTTTCTGCGGATAAAGGGCCAAGTTCTGCTGTTCCTTCAACCCCCGGGCAGAGAAGATCAAATACTGGATGTATTTCTGCTGCAGAAAAACGTCCCTAAGGAGGTAAAGCCATGTGCTCACCATCAGACTAAACACAGCTGTTTCCACACACACTGCTCCCATCTCAAACCTCAGATCTGAACTATAAATCTTCAGATCACTCTTTGTGGTTTCTGTTGGATTCTCTCAGCATGTCTTTCTGCCTGCTGACACAGCACTCGATTCTTCTGTTTTTTTAGCCATGCAATTAATGGTAAACATAGCAGGAATTGGTAATGTGATTAATTGCATTTTTGTATTGCTTCATGGTTTCCAGATTAATCTTGAGTGTTGGTATGGAATTTCATCCACAAATATTTATCCTATGTATGTCCTCATGATGTTATTCTTAATTGATTGTAATTCTTATCTCTGTAGATTAGCTTGGTCAACATATGTTGTTTTTAATGTGTTTTAAAGTGATACAAATGTCCTGTTACTGAAGGTTGTTAAACAACAAGGACGTGCAGTGCACATCAAAATCCCCCGTGACTGTGAGCTGGAACTGTATAAAGGTTACAGTGTGCACTGTGACCCTGAGGGCTTCCATATTCAGCCTGAGGTGAGTCACTGATACTCTGATGAAACACAATGATCATTAACACACATTTAGCTGCATTCACAATCAGGAAAGAAACAGATAAACGTTTAACTTCTGCTTCTGGTTTCCAGCGTCAAAAATTTGACTCAAGTTTTGGAGAAGATTACAATCCAACATTTCAAGTTTTCGTAAAGACGGGTACAGAGAGAATGGATTTGAAGGTCAAGGACCAAGATGGAAATGTAGTCTGGAATTGTCTCGTGCCACTGGAAGGTAAAGACTCCACCTGAGCTCAGACCCAGTGATAGACTGGATAACTCTAAAGCTCCATCTCATAGCATTCTCTATTAAGGCTCCATGGCAGCGCATCATTACGACATTAAACACACAACCTGTTCTATTCTGAAACTATAGTAAAAACTATTGTGGCGTGGCATCATGGGAGTTGTAGTTTTCAGCTTCTCATGGTTAAGTGGATATGGCGCCATTACAGGAGACCGTGATGAACGTACTGTTACCTTTAAAATGACATGTCTCTCCGAACCATTTGAGATAATGTACGTACACAACTCAACAAAATATAAATAACATAGGTGTAGGAGTTTTTATATATTTTAAATGAGGAAATGTTACATATTATAACTTTAAGTGAACATAAATCCACCTCTGGGAATGTCGAGTTACTTTAATTTTTAAGAGATCTGTTTAATGTCCCATCAGAGAGCAGAGTCCCATCAGAGAGCAGAGTCCCATCAGAGAGCAGAGTCCTATCAGAGAGCAGAGTCCCAGCAGACCAGAGGCTGCTCTCAGTTCGGACTGAGTTCATTCAAAGAGTGTCTCCAACTATCCTGAACGACCTTCTGGATAAACTCTTTGAGTCTGAAGTGATCAGTGAATCTGAAATGACGTCGGCCAGAACCAAACCTCAAAATGCCGGAGCACGAGAGGTGGTGGACGTGGTGCGAAATAAAGGAGCTGCAGCCAGCAGGGTTCTGATCAATGCTCTCCGAGAGCTGGACCCGTATCTTTACGAAGAGCTCAACTTGAGCTGAGGCAAAACCTCGTGGAGGGTGTGTGACAGTTGAAGTCTAGTCCTCTGTTTTGTTACCTGTACAGATGTAGCGCTTCATTTCAGACGCCTACCCGTGCGGGTCCGTGATCGGCACGGGGTGGGCCCCTGCTGAAAAGGAAAACCCCCCCGCAGGACTTGAAACGCCCCCTTGATAAATACATTTAATTATAATGAAACCAGCTGCAATGGATAATGGATCCACCAGGGGGAGCCGTGATTAAAAAGCTGCCACACTGGAACTCACGTGAAATAAACAGCTGATCTACAGGTATCTGATATCACGGATATTTGTTAAGATCCATATGTCACGGATAGGATCATATTCTGTGCTAAATAAGAGACATGTAATCATTTACTAAACATCACCATGTTTAACAAAATAATGTTTAATTCACGTTGGCGTAAGTACAAAACCATCGCTATGTTTTTAGATCAGGAAATGCATCCAGGCTCAAACAAACGATTTTCAATCATCATCCTCACGATCATTTAATGTATCATATGTTCGCAAGTTGAAATTAATGCACTAAATTTAATCCACGTGAGTTTACAACAACAAAAATAATCGCTTTGTTTTTATATCACATCCGACCGGAGGAAAATGCAGCACGGGTCTCACTACCGATCATCCTAATCCCACGGGCAAACAATAATATGTACAGTGTTAATAGTTTACTGTATTATTAGTGTCTAATATTACTGGGGATTTCGGAATGGTGGCCTACTGGATTTTGATTTATTGTATCGGCTTCATATCGCAATATATTCCCGAAGTCTGAAATGCAAAAATGTCCCACATTAGGGCAATTCACCCTACATTTAATCATTCAAACAAAATCATATTTCGTTTCTTTTTAACGAAATAAATGTGGTGTAATCCACATAATTTACTGTGTTAATTGTTTACTGTAGTATTGTGCACATTACTTTTCGCTGCTTGTTGCACCCCTGGTTAGAAGCCATGCATTTCGTTGTCTCAGTACCTGCAATATGTGCAATAACAATAAAGTTGAATCTAATCTTGAGCAGGAACAAATGTATTTAGGCTACTTAGTACATATCTGACATAAACGATTAAACACATTTGTGCATTCTTTAAACCGAGTCAAGCCGAGTCCGGAGGTGGCGGCACATTAAAGTATGCACCTGATTGTTTAACTTGAAGGTGCCTGATGACATTTAATCATTCAAACTAAATCATATTTCGTTTATTTTTTTATGAAATAAATGTGGTTTAATCCATATAATTTAGGCCTACTGTGTAAATTGTTTAGTATTGTTTAACTTGAAGGTGCCTGATGTGAACATTTCCAGAAGAACTCTAGCTTGAATGGCCTTTGTATGTATACAGTAGGCCTATAGCCCAACCATTTACACCTTCCTTTTTCCCCGTCCAAAGTTTGAATTGGATAAAGGTAATGGTTATCGATGGTGCTTTTATAGCCTATTGTATAATAACTGTGATTTATATTGCTTTTCAAATGCATATGGCCACCCATTTACACTGCTCTTCCCGTCAAGAATATGAATAGAATTTAGTTAGATCACTTTACATTTCTGCAAATTAATTTGTAATCACACACGTCGCCCCGTTCCGAAAATGATAAATAAAATAAAAAGAGGAAACAATGTTCAAGTTCAGTTTTCAACGTTTTATTTAAAATAACTGACATAACAGACACCATACTGTAGGCCAGGGGTACTCAAATACAAATCTTAAAGGTCCAAAATAAATGTTTCAATAAGACAAAGGTCCGTTTATTACGGTCATTCAAACTTTTAAACAATTGCAACAAGATTCTTAACACGAGGTTGCAAAAACAAAAATAATCTGTATGCAGCAGTTTTCATTGTTATTGTGTCTGTGCTTGATCCCTCAGAGTCGCAGTGTAAGAGCTGCACAGTTATGAATAAAGGCAGCTGCACCCTCTTTCATTCAGCATTCCCATTATTGCTTTATAAATGTCTTGCCCCCTTGTGTGTCCACTGAGGTTCGTCAGGCCCAACACATCTTCAACAAACTCCCCCTTTGCCTCATCATAAAAACTCACAAACACCAGCAACTGAGCATTGTCAGCTGTGTCAGTGGACTCACCCACAGCTAAGGAAATGCACTGTGCATTTTTTATTCCATCACAAAGCTGATGAATCAAATCACCAGCCAGTATTTATGTTCTTCTGGTTGCTGTGGAATCTGAGAGGGGATTTGCTTAATTTGACCTGTTATTTCCTCTTTTTGTTTGCCTTCAACATGGTCTCCATCACTTCAGTCATGCATTCTTTTATACTGCAGTTATTATCCAGTGGAAAGTCCTTACCTACTGGCCTAGTTAAATCAAAGTGGTTACTTTTTTTTGGCTGGGCAGTGAAGTTTTACACACCGTCTTATTTGACTTTCTCAGGACTTAAAACAGTTTTTTTGGGGGCAGACCCCCTCAAAGAAAAAAATATATTTACACACGTAAGGTCATCATCTTAAAGGTGGGGTAGGTAAGTTTGAGAAACCGGCTCGAGATACACTTTTTGTTATATTCCATGGAATGCTCTTAACATCCCGATAGCAATGAATATCTTAAGTATTTGACACAAAATCCATAAAAAAATGTCATCTGTGGAAGCCGTGGTACTGTAAAAAGTACAACCAATCCGTTTAGCCGGCGGCTAAACGGATTGGATTGCCGCCCTGTCTGTCAGCCTTCCATCTCGTGCACGCACAAATGTATCTCGTGCCCTCATTGGGCGTGCATTGCAGCAGTACTTCAATGACTCGCCAGGCGGCCACTTTCACCAGTCTGCAGACGTCATGTGCGCGTTCATGTGTGTTGGAGGAGGTGCTCTGTAAGGAAGTCTGAAGGAAGGGGCGGATTATTTTCGGCTGTGTATTTTCAAATTGTAGTGCACTCGAGCCGGTTTCTGAAACTTACCTACCCCACCTTTAATAGTTGTGTATGCTCATCCGTGAGCAGAGCATCAAGTTGACATGTCTATTACAGCTGAATGCGGCGATTACCATTTCACAAACGTATTAAGATCAACAGCTTTAGAGCGTTTTGATTGAATGCTGAGTACAGCCAAACTGACAGTCTCTTCTCTGTCATTGTAGACCGCAAATACCTCATTCCTTCAGTGCTTGGGTCCGAATGCTTCTCGTTTTGCGCCGTCCAGTTCAAAATGAAATCGCCGCCAATCGTATGTCCACACTCGCGCCAGGACCGGGGGACGTGCATGACGTGCATCTTGTGCTGCATTCACTTGCACTCGGACATTAGAGACTTTCTCTCATAAATGTCCGATGAGCCACAACTTTTCTTTCAAAACAAAGCTGCCAACTGGGGTGGCAGCTGGGGTGGCAAGGCCTATTTTTAGAGTGTCAGTTGCCACCCCGGTAGGTGAAACTAGGCTACAAGCTACAGTACAGATGGAACTAGATGAGCTGTTAACTCTCGCTCTGAATTTTGTTTTTTTTAATTCTCGCTCTGACTTAGACAGGTTGAAAGAGACACACACATGTTTCCCGCCCGCATTCCGCGAAGACCCGCCCTACTGTGCCTCTGATTCGCAGATTGTTTGGGGGGGGAAAACGCTGACTGGATGCTGAATGTGATTGGACCAAAGCGTTGACACACACAGGTGGAACACAGTGGAACAGTCAGACATGCAGAGCGCTGTTTGCAGTGGACATAGCGGAGAATTTTGACTCGTTGCGAATGCGTTTGTGGCGATGTTCTCACATATAATACAGAGAGATAATACATATGAAAACTATAATTTGCTCAGAGTCCGGAGACAGTGGTGGTTCGGTCCGGATCCGGACCGGAGTCCGTAGTTTGAGGATGCCTGCTGTAGGCCTATCTGCTGCGGAAACCAGGACGAGCTATTTCGGGATCTGTTTTTCGGGGGCTCCTCAGTCTCTCATTTACCCGGCTCCTGATCTTATGCCACTGGTCAATGTTCAGATTTGGGAACCAATTGGAAACATATAGGCCATAAGGTGAACCCTGTTATCGTTTCAACCCGCTCCACAGAAGTGAAACTACACAATCTTTAGTTCATAAAAAAGAACGAGTCATGTTTATCCACCAAAAAAAATATCGTCGCTAAATTTCCTGCCAATTCTTCTAGGCACGTAATTATTGGCTGAACTAGTCCCTTCGAAGCGTAATAATATCTTGGTCCAAAATCGTGCCACGGTTTGTCACGTGATCGTGCTACACCAATCGTGTAGCTGCATATTGTCAACAGAAGTGAAAGATGGCGGCCGCCATGGTTACGCTAAACCAGACCAAATGGATTCTAAATAGTGGTGTATGCTTGTTTTATGTCATGTTTTGTCATATGTCTTAATACATCACTAAGTCCGAGGTATTTGCGTTATATGCACGGTATTTGTGAGAGGTTTTACTATCTGGGAACAGAGTTGACCATCGAATCAACATTGACTAGCAGCGTTTATCAGCCAACTCCAGCTACAAACAATTTCCCCACGGGGATTAATAAAGTATATCAAACTCATATTTATCAAACTATCATTCCTGGACTACCATGTTCACATCGCTAGGTTCATTGGGATTATTCCATTAGACTGAGGACTTTTTGTCTGTCTGTTGTTACCCTGTACACGTTAAATGCACTCTTAAAATAAACATGACTTGATTTCTGCGTCCAAGAAGAAGGTTCACTTGTTACGTTAAGTCATTTAGATCAATAAAATGCAGTACTTCCAGGCTGAAGACTTTTCTTTTTGTTGCTGCTTTTAATTGAACTATTCATATCTTAGACTGCACTGTAACTTTTATCCATGTACTTTTTTCTTTTAATGTTTCTTTTATTAGCTTTTCTTTTTAATGCCTGATTTTAAATGCCATTTTCTTAATGTCTTTCATTTTTTGTAAAGCACTTTGAATTGCCTTGTGTTGAAAAGTGCTATATAAATAAACTTGCCTTGCCTTACTTATACCAATAAGTTATTCCATTGATTCATTTATTTACTCATTCATCCCTCCACAAATGAAAACAACACTGATGAACCATAAAAACGAGATTTATTACAAATATAAAAGGTATGACATAGAAAACAGTAGAAAACAGAATAAGGACATGTAATGTAGTATAATTGATTGGTGTCAGGCTGGGCGGAGCGGCTGATTGGTGCTGTGATTGCCTCAGCTGGTTAAAAGAGTCCTGCTGATTATACTCTGTGTTCTAGTAC